CAGATCATGCAGATTTTTATGCAGATCTCTCTGAAAAAAAAAAAAAAATTAAAAGTAAACCAAAGTATCAGGATGATGCATTGCCACAAGACTAGGAATTATGTATTATTATAAGCATTAGTCGCTAACTTTTAACTGGTCAGCACTTTATACTTGAAATTTAATGAGGTTCATTGGTCAGATATAAAAGCCTTTCAAAGTTAAGAACAGACAGATAAAGAAGTATAAAGTAAATTAAATTGAGCTTTAGACTTTTATGTTTTAATGTAGAAGAAAGTGACCTTTAAAGCATTTACAAAGTGAGGAAACAAAACAAAATTTTCCATTGGTGACAAAGATGGTGGATGCTCTTAACAATTAACAAACAACAACAACTTCAGTTTCTAATTCAAAATTTAAGTGTCAATGAAAGTTAGATTTGTAGTTTGTAGTTATTTCATTTAGTGAATAAATGTCACTAAAATGCTATGAAAAAATGTTCTGTTTAGGTAAAGCACATGTTGTTTGGTTTTTGTTAGTAATGAATTCTCCAAAGAGTGGCAGGATAGCTGGAAAAGCGTCCACATTTATTTTACCACCATACATAGAAAGGAGGATTATAAGAAAGGTACATAAAAAAAAAAAAACCTCAAAGCTTACTCCACTGCATATGTGGCATACCACTGCATTTGGGTTTCACCAAGTCCTCACAAAGCATATGATTCCGAGGCTATTTTGTTATTTTATACAAGGGATGTCTATACTTGCTGGTTGTAAATACTTGTGGAGGGTTCTGTATGTCTGTTGTACAATTTTGTAAATCGTCACATAATTGATTTAAAACAAATTCCAAACATTGTATTTTTAAAGAGATCACAAGAAATTTTAAGATTTTAAATCAAAATTTGAAAATATCTGAAGATTTGGATTATGTTTACTGTTATATTTTTTTAACTAACAACTGTACAAGAACATTTATTTTGGCAACTTATATTGCATGTAAGCTTATATAATACCTGTTATTGTGCACTTCCTCTGCAAAAAGTTTTACTACTCTTCTGTGTCATCATAACATTTATATATAACTTATATATACATCTTGTATATACTTTTTATAAAATATATATTTCAATTTTTCATGTGAAATGTATGTTTGTCTATGTGTAGCAACTTATTACAAAGCAAACACAACTTTGCAATGAAACTTTTTCTCAGTCTGATGTGTAAATATAAAAGTAATGGACATTTACTGGTTTTTCTAACACATAACTTTAAATTAATGGATATCGCTGTTTAGTCACACTTATGTTTTGCTTGCCAAAAATATAAATATAGTATTAGGGTTAGGGTATTAGGGTAGTATATTATGTATTATTCTTTTACAATTTTTAATACATAGTTGTTAATCGGAGAGAGGGTGGGAGAGGCTTATATATGTGCTCTTGACCATAAAACCACTAGATGTCAGTATAGTTTTACAACTAAATGTTCAACCTTGGCGCACATTGTGAAGAATTTACAGTAAGTATCTTATAAGTTGAATATATACTGCAATGAAAAGTTATATAAAATCATGTGTCATTGAAAATACAAAGTTACCAGAAAACTCAATACACTTTCTAGACCCAAGCATGAACTAATAAAATGAATTTCAGGGTAATTTAAATGTATTTGGTGCAAGATGTAGCTAAATTCAGATTTCTCAATAAAATGAGCTATTGCAATAAAGATGACCAATTTGGATTCTGGCTGAATTAGATTGACTTTAACTGGATTAGAATTAATCCTGTGTGCTTTGATGAAACAATTAAGTTGACAAAAAAAAATGCTTATTACTGTAAACTCTTTTGGAATAATAATTAATGGATTAAGATAACTTTTCAAAGTTTGCGGTTAGCTTAAAATGAAAAAAGATTTGACTTCAGCATTTGTTGTCTGTAGGAGTTGCATCAGCTGAGTGATAGCTTGGGGCCCAATGCTATTTTTTTATTTGGGCATTAAAACAAGAGGAAAAAAGTTAGAGTGTATCTTACCTATTAAAGCTCCAAAAGTCAATGGTCTAAATTCAGGTTTTTAGATATCAACATTCTTAAAGCACAGCAAACTAACGCTTTTATCAAAATTACCCTAAACTACAGTTAAATATGAATAAGTGTGCAAATTGGATTTTCCGAAACTGGTTGAAACTGGTAGGAGCCAGAAGATGTGCAGTCTAATGAAGGAAAGGGCTACTTCCTGTACTGTCTGTGGAAATGGGATCTGGTGACACCTGCTCACATAAGGCTTGGTGATGCTTAGAGGTTTAGAGTTTCTCGAAAGTGATCAAACACTTAAGTGTCACTTAATTAATTTCCAAAGAACTGCAGCTAGGGTGGAGCCTAAAGGGCTAATTATGCTTGACGCATGCATTTAAACTCCCTCTGGCTTCCCCCCGTTCTGACTGGGGGGGCAACACCACATTATACAAACCACACCCATTTGCAACTTTCTCAAAGCCTTTTTATGCTGTTTGAGAGTGACACTAATTTCTTTCCTGGAGCTTCTTCACAATCTGTTGATAGTAGTTACAATTATAAGGTACATCCCAAGATGTTTGAAGATCTTTACATTTGAAAACCCTCACAGGCAGGAGCTGCTGATCCATCACCATGTTTCCACACAGATCCGTCCTCATAGTTAAGAAATTTTCATAGGTGCTCCGTCTGGAAATTCTGTCCACACTGAGTCTATGCGGAGGAGCACAAAAGCCTAAACTAACAAAATCACACCATGCCGACCGAGCAGACTCAACCAAGCTTTAGGAGATATAGGCTATGTCCAAACGCTCACCCTAACCCCTATATAGAGCACTATGTTACACGATTGTATAGAAGTGTCGAATGTCTAGTGGACTCAAAATTTCCCACAGTGCACCATGAAAAGCTGTGTGTAACCATGGTCACTAGACAAAAAGATATATCCCAAAATGCTTTTCAAGAGCTCTCCTCACAAAACATAATGGAAATGGTTTTGGGGAGAGTTTCAGAAAAATAAATTATGAGCTTGAGCTTTGTATGTATTTGGGGTTTACATCATAATAACTCATAAAGGGCAGTAAATATATGCTTTTTTAATTTCTTTTCTATGTGTTATATGTGAAATACTACAAGAGGAAGTCTTTGGCTAGATGCACAATGTCTCCTGTCAACGTTTCTTCTATGGTCGTGAGCTTTGGGTTGTGACCAAAATTGAAGATACAAGCAGGCAAAATTAGTTTTCACCACAGGGTGTCTGGGTTGTTCCTTATGGGTAGGGTGAGAAGCTTGACCATCCAGAGAGGAGCTGCTTCTTCTCTATGTTAAAAGGAACCAGTTGAGGTGGCGTAGGCATCTGGTTAGGTGGGCTCCTGGACGCCTCCCTGGTGAGCTGTTCTGGACATGTCCCACCGAAAGGAGAACAAGAGGAAGACCCAGGACATGCTGGAGGGACAATTTCTCTCTGCTGACCTGTGAACTCCTTGGTTGGCCCACCTGGGATGGATGGATGGATGGATGGATGGATGGATGGATGGATGGATGGATGG